CCCCTCTCCCTTCCCCATCCTGCCCCTCTCTCCCTTCTCCCAGCGAGTGTATGCATTTCATTTTTGAGGCAGCACAAAAGGGCGGCGCCGGTAAAGTAAATAAAAAGCACAGCTAAACAGCCAACGCAAAAAGCAGAAGAGGGGGAGGAGAGGGTTCTCATTCGCGGGATCCCTTCGCGTTTTTTTTCCTCTTGCCCGTAATTTTTCTCGCTCCTCTTCCTTCTTCACTCTTCTTCTACTTATTCTCTACTCCAAAGTCACATTACCTGTTGTCATAAGACAAAAATGTTATTTTTTTCCCTTCGTTAATTTGTTTGTTTCTTTGTCTTTGTTGGTGCGCTTGTGTGTCTGAGCTCGCATCGCAAGGCCCACGCGATCGCGCCCTGTGTCCGCCCCCCCCCCTATCCCCCTCGCCACCTCTTCGCCAGCACGAGAAAGGGTTGGAATGGGCGGGCCGTTTTCGGGTCCAGGGGAGAGGAATGTAAAACGCACAAAAGTTCCGTTTCGTCACACAATACTTAACTTGCTCAGCGGCGGTGCGCCTTTCACGTGAAACAAAAGTTTTCCCGTTCTCGTACTTTGCGCCAGTTCGAGCCTCTCCACCGGCATCCAAGCGCCGCGCCCCGACGCGCGCCACGCCACGCCGCGCGCTTTAAGGTCCGGCCCATAGCATCCTTGCCACTACTACCGCCCCGCCCTCACCGTCCCAAGTGCGGTTCGGAATGGAGAAACTCACTCAATGTGCCCGGGCCCCGCAACGCCTCGCCACGGCCCGGCCCCATGCCGGCGAAGAGTTCAAACTCGCAGGAGGAAGCTGGAGAAGCTCAGGCAGGACGGTCCCTTTTCTGCGGAACGAGTCGAGCGAGGCGGTGCAGGTTGGCTTGCGGTACTTGCGCGCGCTCGAGTCCGGCGGCGGTGGCCGCGTTGTGTGGACGCGTAAACTCAAACGGGTCGAATGTAGACGTTGATGTTTTTCCAGGAGCGAGTTAGCGTTCCGTTATAATTTTGTTTACTTCTGTTGTGTTCTGAGCAGAGCGCACCAGCACGGACAGTGTCGAACGGTACATAGAATCCCTCCAGAGCGCCCAGTCAGCCGTCAGTAGCAGTACCGCGGCGCTCCGGTGTTGAGTGGCTGGCCTACCCTCCGGACTGCAGGCGCGCGACCAGCCTCCAGACCCTCCGCGCTGCTCTTCCACCTCTGCGCTCCTGCATGCGGTCCAGTACAGCACAACTGCAAAATAGCCAAGGGTCTGTCCGTGGGCCATCCCGCACTGCACACCAATATCATCAGTAGTAAGTGGTAAATCTTTTAAAGAGTCTCTCTCTCTCTCTCTCTCTCTCTCTCTCTCTCTCTCTCTCTCTCTCCATTTCTATGATGAAGAAGGGGCAGTAGCACAGGAGGAAGAGAGACGGCGAGTCGTTAGACATGCCGCTGAGAAAGCCCCAGAGGGAGGGGAGGGAGGAGGGGGAGCAGTCGTTAGGGGAGGTGGGAGGGGAGGCATGAATCATGTTGTGGGATGCCCATTAACTCATCAATTCATAGAGTCATTAATAACTCTAACGAAGAGGGACTCGACGAGCAGCTGGGCAGCCGCGAGGGGCGTTTTTGAACCGAAAAGGAAAAGTGGTTATCTGTGTAAGTAATGATGCGCTTAATTTGTTTTTTATGTATTTTCTTTGCGCAGGAATGGCGAGTGGCTAGTGTGTCGCGGAGGCCTCAGATTTTGCACAGAGTTGCTCGGGTTGTTGAAGAAGCGCGCGAGCCAAAAGGTTTTAGATGGATGCCCCGCTTCACCACCAAAGCCAAGTTCTTAGCTCGTGGTGCCTCCGCCGGGAGGAAAGGGGTAGGTGGAACCGAAGATGGCCGTGGAGGGGGAGGGGCTGAGGGAGGATAGATCGGCACTGACCGCTGAACGAAGTGGCCGCCATTTTTCAGACGGGTATGCGATCGGTTTAAAGGTCGTCGTAGTCGTAAGAGCTACCGAGCTACCGCCAGGTGAAGGAGTGTGAGGAAGAGGTCTTGGTTTGTTATTTTTTTGCTCTTCCCGTTCTCTCTCTCTTCTCTCTCTCTCTCTCTCTCTCTCTCTCTCTCTCTCTCTCTCTCTCTCTCTCTCTCTCTCTCTCTCTCTCTCTCTCTCTCCCCCCCCCCCACAGCATCAGGGGTTATAATTAAAGCTCACCTTCGCGGCTTCTCCTTCGCGCCGCATTCCGTAAATATTATCGCGCTCTCAATCCGACTCGCCCCGCCAGGGCAGGCGCCGGCCGGCGCTCCTGGCCCGCTCTCGGCCTGCTTGGCTGCAGTGTGCCCAAGTTTGTTTGCTTCGCCACCCTGTGCCGGTGAGGGGGAGAGAGAAAGAGAGAGAGAGAGCGTCGACAACAACTTTTCATCTGTGATGCTAGTTTCCAGACAGAAGAGTGTGAGTGAAAAGGGGGGGGGGGCTTGCGGAAAGAAGAGGATGTTTTGGCCTGCAGAATTATAATCATGTCAATGATAATGGGCAGGTGGCTGAGGGTCTGCCTTATTAAAAAAGAACTTTTGAAAGTCGTGGTAAATTTGCCTTTTCAAAACAAATCTTCAATCTGGATCATGCCTTGTTGACGTTAGGGCGTAAGGAAAGGATTTTTATGCGATAGCGAGACATGGACGGAAAGAGACAGTGAGAGGGAGCGAAAGTCGCGGTGGTTGCTGCTCAAGGGCAACGCTCCGTAAAAGCTTTATTTGTTTCAAAGAAGTTCGATCAAAAATACATTCTATCATGCCAAATACACTGTAAGAAAAACCTACAGCTACTTGCCGTACAATTTCAGCGTTGTACTTTGAAATGACTGTATCATATTGTTATTCCAGCGCTTTCACCCCACACAATGAAAATTTGACAATCCTCATCTGGTTAATACTTAACACCAGAATGTTGTTATATTGTAGATTTTTCGTACAGTGTAAAATGTGCATTAAAATTTACCTTTGATAGATAATACTGATTTTACAATGGAATTGAATCAAATAAACCCTTTTCTGAGTGCAACACCATAGTGTTGCAGCCACAGCCCTGCTAAGCCGAATCGTGTGTTAGTGTGCGTGTGTGTGTGCGTGTGTGTGTGTGTGTGTGAGAGAGAGAGAGAGAGAGAGAGAGAGAGAGAGAGAGAGAGAGAAAGACGGAAGGGGATAAAGTGGTTTCCGGGCCGAAAGGGAAGCGGAGCGGAGTGAGCTCGTCGTGGCGCGGCGGTTGGGGATAGGGTTGGTCGGGGCGAGGAGTCCAGCTCGGGCGGGGAGATCAGCGTGGAAAACGAATGGAGGTCCAGTTAGGCCCCCGCGGAGGCCAGGCCGGTGACGTCACATCACGCGTGCTCGTCACGAACCAGGCTGCGCCGAGGCTGTGCCCCTCCATACATTATACACTGGTGGACGTGCCCAGCTGCTGACTCACCCCGCTCGCCTCTTCCCTCTCCTCTCCTCCTTTCCCTTCTCTCTCTCTCTCTCTCTCTCTCTCTCTCTCTCTCTATTAGGG